TGTGGAGCTGGGTGGACAGTCCCCCCGGGCGTGCCCTGGCCAAGGCCCTGGAAAGGAAAAGGAAGTGCAAAGCAGAGGGCCAAGGTCACAGGGCCCCAGCTGAGGGATGGTGCAGCCGGGGTTACTGCTGGCTAAACAAACAAACACTGGACAGGATGACACTGGTCAGCGCCCAGAGACTGCTGGCCTGGCCAGGATCAGCACAGCCCCCGATGTGCACAGAGCCCAGACCCCTGGGACTCTGGCCGCACCTGCGGGAGCTGCTAGCAGGCGGGGACCTACACAGTAGACTGCACCTCCATTCGCAGAGGTGTCCTCGGCCAGGGTCGTCCCAGGGGCCAGGCATCCAGCCCAGGAGCCCTAGGTCAGGCAGAACACCACGTCCAGTCTGTCCTCCGGGTCTGCTCAACTCAACAACCCCATGCCAGGTCCTGCCAGACGTCAGCTCTCAGCGCTGCCTCCACCTACCACCCGTCCATATCACGAGCACACACGTGCAGGTGGAGGCCCAGCACGCCTGCCCACGCACACGACTGCTGTAGAAGATGAAGGGGTCTTTCAGGGTGAACCCCAAACCCAGGCTGGGACCTTAGCAAGAGACATGGAGGAGATGGAGCAGAGACCGGGTCAGGGAGCAGGCTCCCACCAGGGGGTTCCTGGGCCCCGAGGTGGCGGTGGCAGGGTCTACTGTCCCATGAAGTCAACAGTGGCCTCACCCTGGGCCAGTTCCAGCCTCCACATGGACACTAGAAAGGCTGCCCTAACCAGCCCAGCCTGGAGGCAGTCCCAGGTGGGGCGGGCCAGAGACAGAGCCGGGGGCAGGCCAAGCACCATGTCCTCACCTTCCAGGGCACACTCAGCTCGAGCCACGACGTCCACTCCACAGCAGAGGCCGTGCAAACAAGGAGCACTCCCTGTGGTCAGTGCCCATTGTGGTCACCCATTGTGGTCAGTGCTCCCTGCGGTCAGCGCCCTCCTGTGGTCAGTGCTCCTGTGGTCAGCATGAGGTGCTCCCTGTGGTCAGTACCCCCTGTGGTTAGTGCCCATTGTGGTCAGTGCTCCTGTGGTCAGTGCTCCCTGTGGTCAGCACCCCCCTGTGCTCAGTGTCCCCTTGTGCTCAGTGCTCCCTGTGGTCAGTGTCCTGTGCTCCACATAGGACTCCAGAACAGCACAGAGGCCTTGTGCATTTCTGGAAGCTTCCAGGGGCAGCCTCTGGGCCAGTGTCTATGAGGTAACGGCAGAATGCCTTCTGGGCCTGCTCCCTCCCGCTTGGTGTCCACTCTCGCTTGGCAGTGTGGCCTGCTGGTCCTCGCCATGGACGCGGCACAGCAGCACCACGGAGGTCCCCCCGGAGCTGCCAGGCGGGCTCTGGCTCTGGTCACCAACAGCCCAGCCGGCCTCGCGGGCAGCGAGCAGGGAAGACAAATGCCACAGACCAACACCATTCAGCAAGGACCTGGGACTCCGCCAGCCAGGCATGGAACAGCAGTCAGCACAGGGATGCCCATGGCCCATGCTGCTGCCCGGGATCGAGCCTGCCCGTCCAGCACCCTGCAGGCCAGGGACGAACGGCTGAGCCCTGGCCCATGGCCCACCTGGGAGACCCTGGCCACAGTGGGCAGTAAACCCACAGAAGGAAGATTCTCTCTCCCTCCCCTTTGTACAGTGAGGCCCCCAGCGTGGCCACTGCCCAAAGGGCCTCCCACACCAGCCGTACCTCAAGGAGTCACTGCGGGCCTCCTGGTCACTCATTTCCCAACATGAGAAATAGGGGGCAGGCAGCAGCCCCCTTGAAAGAGCTTGGGGTGAAGGCAGTCAGGCCCCTGGGCCTGGGCCCATGGCGGAGAGGCAGGCAGGCAGGCAGGCCAGGCCTGGTCACTGCTCCTCCAAGCCCTGCGTGGCGCAGCCTCGCCTCCTGGTGGACGCTGCCGGAATCACCCAGCCAAGGGCCCCAGGAGAAGGGGTGCCTCGCGGCTCACCCCCAAGAAAGCCCCTAAACTCGGGTCCAGTGGCCTGCTCAGGCCTCTGCTCAAATAGCTCCAAGGCAGGGACCCAGGACTGCCAGCGAGGGCCACCCACCAGTCCCCACAACGTGAGCAGGCAGGGGCCAAGCAGCCGGGTCCCCATGGCTACCCCACCCAGCCCTGCAGGGACCAGCAGCCCCAGGAAAGGCCTCCCGCCCCAGTACTCCATAGATGCTACTGGAAGCATGTGGCCGCCCAGGTGTCCCCAATCAAGGACTTGCTGGCACCCCTGGGCTGGCCACAGGTGCAGCCCCATTCGTGGCCTGGGGTAGAAGCTGGACTCGGACCCCTGAGGCGGGCAGGCCACGGGAGGGCCAGTCCATGACCAAAACCCCCAGCTGCAATGGGACAGTGAAGCAGGCAACGGAGAAAGGGGCCCCGCGCCCCCATAGTGCCTGGAACTACACCCTCCTGGGACACGGGCTGGACAAGATCGCTCCAGCCCTAACAGGCCACACACAAGGTCCAGGTCAGATCCCCCTGCTGGGTTTGCAGCACCCCCAGGTCCTGAACCGTGACAGAGCACCCCAAGGTGGGGAGCAGGGGGAGCCAGGCAGGTCCGAGGACAGACAACCCTGGGGACAGACAGCCCTGGGGACGGGCAGCCCTGAGGACGGGCAGCCCTGAGGACGCCCAGCCCTGGAGACAGGCACCCCTGGGGACGGACAGCCCTGGTGATGGGCAGTCCTGGAGGTGGGTACCCCTGAGGACAGGCACCTCTGAGGACAGGTAGCCCTGGGGATGGGCACCCCTGGGGACGGGCAGCCCTGAGGACGCCCAGCCCTGGAGACAGGCACCCCTGGGGACGGACAGCCCTGGGAATGGGCAGCCCTGGGAATGGGCAGCCCTGGGGACAGGCACCCCTGGGGACGGCAGCCCTGGGGACGGGCAGCCCTGGGGACAAATGTGTGCAGGACCCTCCGAGCTCCCAGGCCGTTCCTGTGCACCCCATTCCCGGCCTGCCACCCTTGCCCGGGCTGACCTGCACCTGCCTGGCCCGCCCTGGCCTGCCACAGCCCGGGGCCCAGCTGGCCTCTCTTGGTGGGCAGATCCACCCCAGTCCCAACCCTGTGCGCCGTTCCCGTGTGTGGGGTGCACGGGGCACGTGCGCTCGAGCGTGAACGTAGGCGCCCAGTGTCTGCAACCCTGTGCCCGCACCCCAGAGCCCGCACCCCGGACCGGAGCCCGCACCCCTGTGCCCGCACCCCGGACCCTGCCTGCACCCCGAGCGAGCACCCCGGAGCCTGCACCCCGGAATATGAACCCCGGAGCATGCACAGCTGTGTAGAGGGGTGCCGGCACCGGCAGCGCATGCGCACACGATGCGGACCGCGGTTGTCAGCGCCCCAAGCACCCACAGTTCCAAGCGCAAGGCTACGCCCGGAAGTCCATGGGCGGATCTTCCGAGCGCCGCCCACTGATTCGTCGCCAGCCACTTGCACTTCCGCGGACGGCCCGGGGTAGGGGGAGGCGCGTCGCCGCAGGAAGCGCGCGCGCCCGCCCTGTTTTGTTTCCGGGGGAATAAGCCTCTTGGCAGGACGCTCGGCGCTTCCGGGTACTCCCCTAAGCCTCTGATTGGTTGATTGTATGAATATATTAAACACAAAACGGGTTTTTTTCCCTCTACCCGTTCAGTTTAACAAAACTCTTCAGTGGGAAGCAGTTGCTGGTGTTCATTTTTGACGGGTGTTCCCCGAGTGTGACGTGCAGACCGCGGGCGCGCACTCACCCTCTGCGTGAAGTGGCGGGCACGTTCGCCTTTAAATACGGTGCGGCCGGATTGTGAGTCGTGTTGTATGAAAGGAGAGAAGGTTAGCACTCCCCTTGACAAGGATGGAAGAGGCCCTCGGGCCTGACAACACGCATACGGTTAAGGCATTGCCACCTACTTCGTGGCATCTAACCACTGTTTTTTGCTTTCCACCCGCCTCTGCAGCTCCTTCCTGTCCTAGGCCACTCGCGGCGCCATGCTTGGTCCCACAGTCCCTGGCCACTCCTACAGGAGGGCTGGGCGCTGTGGGCCGCCCGAGCACCAGGGCCAGCGCGGTGGGCACTGGGCACGAGACAGCAGAGCCCTGCCCTGGGCGTCTCCCCAGTCTGCCTCTTCCCTCCCCAGCACGCCCATCTCCACACCCAGAAGCCCACCGTGAAGACACCAAGGCAAAGGACACAGGGCACCCCTGCGCATTGCAGCTGCCCACTGCGGGCTGCAGCCCGGGGCAGCTCCAGCCCAGCACGCGGGGTGCCACTCCCGCTGCCAGTGGGGGACCCAGTTGGCAAGGCTCAGGACACAGGGCCCGCTGCACCGGCCGTGCCCACCTGGCAGGTGCCCATGAGTTCCCAAGGAGTGGGGCTCCTGCAGGCAGGCCGGCCGCCACCCCTAGGAGAGTGGACAGTGGACAGGTCCCCTTCCTGCTCGCCTGGCTCTGTCCCCGAACACCACTTTTTAGACGCTGAAATTTTGGCTCCATCAGTTAAGCCACCAGTTGCAACAGGGCACCTTCAGGTCCAGTCCCGGCCCCTCTGACCGCCGAAAGCTGAGCTGCAGAGCGCCCACTCCCTGGGTGCCTCCCCGCGAGCGGCCTGCCCATCGTGGCCCACCACCAGTGCCGGCAAGGACCCTCCCTCCAGGCTGGCACTCAACACCACGGACCACCACCAGGCACAGCCAGGCAGAGGGGACGGCCACCAGGTGCTGCCCTCCTGGGTCTTCCCCAAGGCACAGCCGTTGCAAGCACCCCACAGTGCAGCGCGCCCCCCGGCCCACCCAGCCCCTGCTCCTGGGAGAGCCGTGCACGATGGACCCCACAGCACAGCGCGCCCCCCAGCCCACCCAGCCCCCGGAAGAGCCGTGCCCGGTGGCCCCTGGCTGCAGCCTGGCCCAGCTGACCCTCATCTATGCGGGGAGTGAACCAGGGGTGAAGAGCTCTCATAACTGAAATACATAAGTCCTAAAAAACATCCTACAGGAGAAACTTTTAAGACATGAAAATCTTTTATTTTCGAAAAGAATGTGTTTTTACATAAATCTACAACAGAGAATTCAAATGTAGAAAAAATAAAACTGTACTGGGGACACCACCATCGGCACCTCCCCCAGGTGAGTGGCCACAAACAGAACAGACCCCCGAGCGCAGGGATCCCCACGAGGGGACAGGGACGGGACGGAGCAGCATGCTACAGCCTTCACCACGCCCAGCAGACGGGGCTCTCCCTGTGCCTCTGCCCCTCCCTCACAGCGGCCACGGGGGCCTCAGCGACCTGCTGGCAGGGCATGCCTGACCCACCCGCTACACTGGCCCACGCACCCTAAGGAGCCCTCTGCCCGTGGACTCCGGCCTCCACCGAGGCCCAGCTGGCTGAGATGCAAATCCCCATCCCCGCAGGGCGCTTCCCCCTAGCCCCACGGCAGAGCAGCCAGCCCTCACCACCGGATGGCCTAGGGACGCTGAGCACCAGGTGGGCCAGACTGCCTGGAGAGGCTGGGGGGCCTCCGTCCCCCTCTTACCCACCACCACACGGTGTCTTTTGCATCAGAAATTGGGCTCCAGCACCGGCCCACCTACATGGCAGGACTGTGGGTGCCAGGCTGTGGGGAGCTTCCTCAATTCCCACCCAGCCCCTCTCCAGGACGCCTGTAGAGGGTACTTCTCCCTGAACTCGGGGGGCCCACGGTGAGGACCAAGCCCTCCTGCCGCTGCAGGCGCCCCAGGAGACATGGGCCCAGCAGGGACCCAGGCTGTGCAGCCAGGCCCAGGCCTCTCCCACCACCCAGCCTGGTTTTCCAGAAAGACTTGAGAAGCCAGTGGGAATCCAGTGAGGCCCAAACTGGCCAGTGGCTGCCCGCGGGGACCAGCAGGGCAGGGGGGGCTAGACGGGGCGGGGACAAGGCCAGCGGCTGCAGCCAAGGCGGCCTCTGCTCCCAGCAGGTGCGCTGGGCAATTAACACAGTAAGAAAGGTGCAGGACGTTTACTGGAAAGACACAACTCACGAGAAACTCAACGTCACCCTTGAAAAACAAAATCACAACGCTGCCGACTCAGCACATGGAGGGGGCGTCCCTGCCGCGGCCCTGGCCCACTGCTCGGGCTCCGGCCGGCCCGGCAGGCGCGGCCCGCGCACGGCCCGCCCAGTCCCCGGGGGCGCACGGCAGGGCCTAGCAGTCGCTCTTCCACAGCTTGATGGTCTTGTCGTTCTCGAGCGCGGCCGAGGCGATGATGTTCTCGGTGGGGTGGCAGGCTGTGGAGATCACCACATCTGAGGACAGACAGGACAGGGTGGGTCCCGCGGCCAGCCTCAGGACTGCCCAGGGGCCCCGGGCCCGCACGCGGCCGTGAGACCGCTTGCCCCGTGCTCCCCCTCGGCCAGGCCCCGCGTGCCCGGTGGGGACGCCAGATCTGGTGAAGCGGATGAAGGGGAACTTGAGCGTGTCACAGCCCACGTGCCCCAGGCCCCGTGGGGTTGTGGGGCTGAGGACAGACGTCCCCCTGCAGGGACGGACTGAGGGCCTGGGAGGGCAGGAACTGACTGCCAAAGCCCACGCGGGACAGCGGAAGAGCGTGTGGCCACTACCCGCAGCCCCATGCCCAAGAGGCTCCACTAACACAAAGTGTAAGTGCAGGGCGGGCAGACACAGGCAGCCGTGGGGACAGCAACGCCAGGAGCCCCTGGGGACGGGACAGCCGCAGCCCGCAGGAGGGCAGCAGAGGCCGCCGCGCACCTGTGTGGCCCTGGAGCTTCTGGACGACCTCCTTGGTCTGCAGGTTCCAGATGTACACCAGGTTGTCTTCGGAGCCGGACACGATCCACTGGGCAGGCGGGTCAGGGTTCAAGCACTCAGGAGATGCCCAGCCCTGCCCCTCCCGCCCGGGGGCACCTGCCCCCTTCGGCCCCATGCCCAGTGCCAGTAGGGGCCTGTTAGGAGCAGGTGCCCGGCCTCCTCCGGTGCCTCCCCAGCCCCAGCCCCCCGCCGCCCTCGCGCCATCCAGAGGCCCCCGAGTGGCTCCCCGGACAGCGGGCGAGCTTGCCAACCTTGCCGCCGGTCACGGAGAAGTTGGCGAAGATGCAGTATTTCTCGTTCTTGTGGCCGGCGTAGGTCTTCAGGCACTGAAGGGGCGGGGCGAGGGTGGGGCTCAGCCAGAACCCCAGGCTCAGCCAGAACCCCAGGCGGGCGGGGTGCGGGCCGGGCTCAGCCGGAACCCAGACTCTCAGCAGGCGCCTCCCACTGACGGGGACATGGCTGACCCTGCCACAGCCCTCGGCTCCCCGCCCCGTGTCACCACCACAACAAGCCAGGACACTCACCTTGCCCTTGCTGTAGTCCCAGAGCTTCAGTGTGCTGAGAGAGAGGGGAGGAGTGAGGGGCTGCCTGCCACGCCGCACCGCCGGGAGGGCGCCCATAGCCACCCTGCCACGCCGCCCTGCCACGCCGCACCGCCAGGAGGGTGCCCACAGCCGCCCTGCCACGCCGCACCGCCGGGAGGGCGCCCACAGCCGTCCTGCCCGACCCAAGTGGGCTATAGACTTGAATGAGATACCGCAGGCTGCCCATGCCAGACTCAACCAGGCACCCTCAAGAGGGAGTAGGATGGCACCCAATGGCAGGGATCCTGACCTCAGGGCAGCGGATGCCTGCCAGTGGGGGGCGGGACTGCCGTGGGCTGGGGGAGGCGGTGGATAGCCGCGGGGCGGGCCCGTGGGGACGGTGGCACTCACTTGTCCAAGGTGGCAGCCAGGATGTATTTGCCATTCGGAGAGAACTTCACAAAGGACACCGGCGGGTTGTCGTCATCTGCAACAGACAGCCAGGCTGACGCCGGGAGGGCGTGCAGGGCAGCGCCCACACCCCACGACACACACCAGGAGGCCTGTGCACCGTGCCAACACCACCACGCCACGGAGGACCCTGGGCCATCTCCGACACCCATCCGAGCGGTGAGCAGGGCTCGCTCACTAGCTGAGACCCAGGCCGACAGCAGACTGGTGCCGGGCAGCCTGAGCCTCGGCCAGCCCCCAGCCAGCCCTGATGGACAGTGCAGCCTGGCTCAGTGCTGACCCCAGGGCTGTGGCTCACGGCCAGGTGCCACGGGCAGAGCCCAGGACTCGCTGTGCTCCTCCAGAGACCAGCCTTGCCCCTGCATGGTGTCCCAAGCACCGGGGAGGGCTCAGCGTTACCACCGCAGGCTAGCTGGTGCCTCGACTTCCGCCGGCCGATGCCAAGCACTGCAGAGGGATGCCACGGGGTGAAGCCTTGGGGCCCCAAGCTCGAGCCTGCAGGCAGTGGCCCGGGCATTCAGAGAAGCCAGAGGGAGCAGACGGGAACCTGCCCCCGCCTGCCCTCCCTCCCACCCTGCCCTGCAGCCTACTGCAATGCTGCTCCGAGCGCGCCCGCCTGCCAGGCTGCGGGTGCCTGTGCTAGGACAGCCAGGAGGCCAGGGTCTGACCGACTGGCCAAAAAACCAAGGGCACTGGCAGGTGGTTCTGAACAGAGGCCCTTGGGGGAAAGGGGCCGCAATCCAGTGTGTCCACACAAGGGGAACAGATGCAGACACAGGGGAGCCAACCACCCAGCAGAAGCTGCGGCCAGAGCCAGCTCAACCCACAGGGCTCCTCAATGGCCCCCCATTTCCCTCTCAAGCTGGACCCTGCCCAAGGCTGGCAGGGACGCCCTGGGGGTTGGGGGCAGTCTTCGGGCAGCAGCTCACAGCTGCCCACCTGTCTCCCAGGCCCTCAGACCCCCAGGCCTCCCAGGCACACACACTCTCTCAAACATTCCTGGCTCCCTCCCAACACAGGCCCCGCCCACTCTCCCAACCCCCACCCAGCACCCAGGCCAGTCCCCCAACCCCTCAGAGCAACAAAACATAGTTGCAGCCCCACAGGTCAGGGGGCAGGGTGCTGCCGGAGGCATTCCCAGGGGCCAGCATGACAGCAGAGGCCCTGGGGCCAGGGGCTATTGAGCCAGTCCTGGCAGAGGCCTGCCAGCCAGCAGGGAGCACAGCGGCCAGCAGGGAGCATGGGCCAGCAGGGAGCACGGGCCAGCAGGGAGCACAGCGGCCAGCAGGGAGCACAGCGGCCAGCAGGGAGCACAGAGGCCAGCAGGGAGCACGGGCCAGCAGGGAGCACAGGGGTCACAGCCCGGGGCTGCACTCACCGATCAGTGTCTTGAGGCACTGGCCAGAGGCGGTGTCCCAGATGCGACTGCAGACAGAAGGCAAGCACCGGGTACCGGGGTTACACCTGCCGCCACTCCTGCACCCACCCAACCACTTCCACATGCTCTCCGCGGGGGTGCACAGCTTCCCACGGCAGACCACACCCAGCCACCCACGCAGGTCTAACTCCTCCCTCTCCACCGCCTCGGCCCCCTGGGGTGGGGAGCTGGGCACCTCTTCAGCTCGAAGTCACGCCGGTATGAGTGGGCTGGAAAACGGAAACCTCCCCCTCCAGGAACCCCCCCACATCACACCTCCCAGGACCTGCCATCTGCAAACACGTCCCTAAAAACCCCTAGCACTCCTGTCACCGCCACACAGGGACCACCTGCCTGGTGACCCCAGGCTACCTGTAACCACTGACCCCCACACACAGGCACCTGGGGGGGCAGTGCCACGTGTCCTTTCCAGCACATCCCTGTATGGGTAGGGCCACGGAGGACCGCGGCCAGCCCGAGGACCGCGGCCAGCCCGAGGACCGCGGCCAGCCCACTGAGGACCGCGGCCAGCCCACCGAGGACCGCGGCCAGCCCACCGAGGACCACAGCCAGCCCATGGACTGAGCTGAGTGACCAGAGGGTCCCTAAACCTGGGGGCTTCAAGCGTCGCAGGCATCACCGCCTGCGCTGTGAGCATCCCATAAGGTCACAAGTTCAAGTCCCAGCTGCTCCACTTCCCATGCAGCTCCCTACTAAGGTGCCTGGGAGAGCAGCAGAGGCCGGCCCAAGTCCATGGGCCCCTGCGAGAGCCAGATGGAGATCCTGGCTCCTGGCTGCCCGCACCCCAGGCAGTGGAGAGAAGAGCTTCCCCTGTGACCACTTTTCACACACTTTCCCAGTACCCCTGCTCAACTTCTCCAGGTTCCATCACCAACGTGCCCCTGCTGGGCTCCCTAGCTGGGCAGCGTGTGCCACATTGGCGCACAGGTCCAGGCCAGTGCTGGGATGGACACTGCAAAGCACTCCTGGCGTCTGGCTCGTCCATGGCAGCGTGCCCACGGCCCAGCACGCAGTGTCCAAGCGCTCAGAGCCCGTTCCAAGGCCGCCCGTGTCACCCACCTGCTGAGCACCTACCCACCCCCATTGCTCCCAGCTGTCCCTACCTGGCTTCCGGTGGCTCCCGAAAGCAGCATGGGGCAGGGCTGGTGGGCAAAGCCCCAAGCAATGACGCCCAGCTGGCCTCTCCCCGGTGGCCCCAGCCCTGTGCCTGCCTGCTCCCACCTCCCTCACCCACAGCCTCCCGTCCCATGCTCCACCGCGCCTGACCAGGAGGAGGGGGCAACAGTGGCACCGATGCCTCCTCAGAAAGAGCCACACTATACCAGCTAGGGGGTCCCCAGGGCCCCTGACCCCCAGCACAGCAGACTGAGCTGTGACTGAACATCTGACCGGGGACACCCGACCCCGCTCACCAGAGGCCGTCATAGCTGCTCGATACAATCAAGGACCCATCACGGTTGAAATGAACCTGAAAACAAAGCAGGAGAAAAGCCGGTTCACTTCCGGGTCATCATCACAGTGCGTGCTGGGCAAGCTGAGGGCCACTTCATGCGGAGTGGCCAAGTGGAAGGCGCTGCGGTGGGCCCGGTCTGCCTCGAGAGCCGAGCCCACAGAGCGCAGTGCAGGGGCTGCCCAGACCCCGGAGGGCACTGTGGCCGGGCAACTGTGCACGCAGGGCTGGAGGTGCCCTCTGGGCACTGCTGGGCAGAACGCCGCCACACGCCGGGCCAGGCCTTCACAGCTTGCCCCGTGCCCCGCGCCCCCAGCCAGCTGTGCACAGGTGCCCCATGCGTCCCTCTCTGGCTCATCCCCAACAGCCCGCATCCGCCGAGTTCTGCTCGGCTGGGCCGTCCCTGCCACGCAGAATGCACCTCCCACGCAGCGCGCCCCCACAAGGCTGCACAGACCCCAGGGCCAGGCCCGGCGGAGGGACTTACAGCAGACACGGGGTCCGAGTGAGCAGGCAGGGTCTTGAGGCACTTGCCCGTCTTCACGTCCCATATCCTCACGCTTTCGTCAAACTGAAGACAGAGCAGACGCCGTGAGCCCACAGCGCGAGGGGAGCCCCTGCACCCCCCCAGCCTCCCAGGCCACCCCCGCCCCCCGAGCCGCTCACCGAGCCCGACACGATGAGGTTGGACTGTGGGTTGAAGTTGCAGCAGAACACGTAGTTACTGTGCCCTTTAAGGGTCTTCAGGCACTTCCCCTGCAACACGGGCGTCAGGCCACGGCCCGGGCCAGGCACCCAGCCCACGCGTCCCGGGGCCCCTCCCGGGGACAGGCACCCAGCCCTCCTGCCCACCCGCCTGCACCTCCCGGGGCCAGGCACCCAGCCCTCCTGCCCACCCGCCTGCGCCTCCCGGGGCCAGCCTTACCGAGCTCACGTCCCAGATCTTCAAGGTCTTGTCGTCGGAGGCAGAGACGAGCAGGTTAGAATCCGACGACCAGGCCACGTCGGATATTCCCTGGGGAGGGCGGAAGCAGAGCAGTGAGCGCCCTGGCGGTCGGGGAGGGCCAGCCGACCCACCGCACCAGCCTGGCCTCGGGCCTGGGGACCCTGCCCTGCCGCACCTACCAGCTTGTGACCAGATATAGTCTTCTCAAATTTCCCGTCATACGCACCCCAAATTTTAATGAGTTTATCGGCAGCTGAAAGAGAAGAGGGGCGGCCAGGTTCAGGGCCAGCGGCTGCTGCCCAGCGCCCGGACAGGGGCAGCTCAGGGTCCCCCCACGTCTGGGATGCGGCTCCAGCCGGGCCTGGTCACCTACAGGAGCTGGCCAGCCACTCGCCATTGGGGCTGAACTTCACAGAGGACACGGCTTTCGTGTGGCCAGCCAGGGTGAACTTGAGGGCGTAGTTGGGCTTCACAGGAGTGGGCTGTGGGCGAGAAGGCACTGCAGGGTACTGACACGCACGGGGAGCCCAGCTCTGGCCCGCGGGCTCCCACTCCCACGCCCACGGGGAGGCCCAGCTCTGGCCCGCAGGCACCCACTCCCACGCCCACGGGGAGGCCCAGCTCTGGCCCACGGACGCCCATTCCCGCGCCCACGGGGAGGCCCAGCTCTGGCCCACGGACGCCCACTCCCACGCCCATGGGGAGGCCCAGCTCTGGCCCGCGGGCACCCACGGGGAGGCCCAGCTCTGGCCCGCAGGCGCCCACTCCCGCGCCCACGGGGAGGCCCAGCTCTGGCCCACGGACGCCCACTCCCACGCCCACGGGGAGGCCCAGCGCTGGCCCGCAGGCGCTCACTCCCACGCCCACAGGGAGGCGAGCTCTGGCCCGCAGGCGCCCACTCCCACGCCCACGGGGAGGCCAGCTCTGGCCCGCAGGCGCCCACTCCCATGGGGAGGCCCAGCTCTGGCCCGCAGGTGCCCACAGCCAGCACCCAGGCCTAGCACCAAAGGGGAGGTCCACCTATGTGTCACCCGGCAGCACCCTCCTGACACCCCACCTTGGGGGCTGGGAGCAGAGGCTCTGTCGATCTACTCCCCACACGACAGGTAACCCTGCCAGGTTCCCAGCTGCGCCAGCCTGACTCAGTTTCCCAGAGTGCACCTGCAGGCCCTGCTGCCCTGCTAAAGGCCCTGCTTCCAGCAGCCCAGGCCAGGGGTATGCTATGGCTGGACAGGGGCAGCCGGCCGAACCCAGCAGATGCGTGAGCAGCGTGTACTGCGCACGGGTCTGGGGCCGCCCTGCCAGGCCCCCCAGGCACTGTGCAGGGCCGTGGTCAGAGCGAGGCAGCAGGCTCGGACCCGGCTGCTCCGCTCACGGCCCCTGCCGCACCTTGCTCTGCGTGGCTGACGAGGAGGGCGTGGGCTGAGCTCTGGCGGCCTCGCTCTCCGGCTTCTTCTCCTCTGTGGCCATGGCTCCGAGGCCCACCGGGCAGCAAGGGGCAGAGCAGAGGCAGGGCAGGGGGCTGCAGAGGGAACCTAGCCCAACAAAGAAACAGCATTTTGAAAAGTTAATTTCCAGCACAAATGACAGCAGGTGAACCCCATTTAAAAGCTGCTTTACTCTGGGGCAGTGCAGTGGCACAGCACACTAACCCACCACCTGAGGCACCGACACTCCCTATCCCAGCCCTGGCCGCTCCACTTCCCACCGTCCTGCGCCTGGGACAGCAGCACAGCCCACGTGCCTGGGCCCCTGCGTCCACATGGGAGGCCCTGACGCAGGTCCAGGCTCCGGGAACAACCTGGCCCAGCCACTGTCATGTGGGGAGTGAACCAGAGGACTCCCTGTAACTGACTTTCCAGGAAACAAATCCAAAATAAACGCGCATCAGAGCCACGAGTGGTATCGGTGGGCAGGGGAGGAGGGAGGCGCCCTGTCCCTGGGGGTCAAGGCCTCAGCTCAGCTGCTTTCTGTTCGTCCTCCATCACCCCCACACGCATGGGGGTGTTCAGACCAGGGAAGCCGGGGAGACGCCTGCCAACAGGAGCCGGCGCCCAGGCCTGGAACTGGGGAACGGGGTAGCCCCGAACGGCGCCTCCCGAAGGCAGAGCAGAGGGGATGGCCACAGCGCCCACTGTGTGAGGACACGTGCTGCCCGCAGCAGGTGCCAGCCCTGGTCCCTGCCCGCAGCAGGTGCCACATCTGGTCCCGGCACCAAGCTGGGGCATCCTGGCCATGCCATCGCCACCCACCCCTGCCCGCCCAGCGTGCAGAGTGGACCACCACCGAGCAGAGTAAGGTTTGCAGACTTGAGCACCCCCGGGCCACAGACGGAGGGGGCAGTGCCCACGGCCACCAACAACGGCTGCCTCCGGGTGAGGGCGGACCGGCAGGCAGAGGAGGCGTGCCAACCCTGGGTCTGCATCCCACGGGATGGACTGGGGCCCCACGCCGGCCGCGCTCCCAGCACCCGGGCCTCGGGGGCACAGGAGCCCCCGCCGCCCCCGCCAAGCACAGCAGGCAGCCGGGCCTGGGTGTCCCCCCGGGGCCTGGGTGTCCCCCCGGGGCCTGGGTCCAGGGGCGCGTGCGGGGCCGGGCACCGACGCACTCGGGGGAGGTTGGAGCGGGGAGCCCACACCCTCTGGCCTCCCTCCACCTGCCCGAGCGCCCCGCGGAACGCCAGCACCCCGAGGAGGGGCGCACGGTGACAAAGCGCGGCCTGGCCGCCCTGGCCCGCCCGGAGAGGCCCGCGGCCTGTCAGCCGAGCCCCGCGGGCGTGCGGGGGGCCGGGCCCGGGGCGCGGCGGGAGCACGTGCGGCGGCGGGGGGCGTCGCGCCCCGGGGAGCCCCCCGCGCCCCGAGCGCCCGGCCGCCCCCCGCCGCGGCCCCGCTCACCTGCCGGCCGTCGTGGCGTCGGCCGCCGCTGGCCCGGAGCGCGGGGTGGACGCCGGGCGCGGGGCGGCGGGGCGCGTGCGCGGGGCGGGGCGCGCCACAAAGCCGGCCCCCGGGCCCGGGCGCTACGGGCCGCCGCGAGGGCCGCGAGGCCGCGGGCAGCGCGCTTCGCCCTCGCCCCGCGCAGCCCGGTGCAGCCCGGCCTCTCCGCGCAGCCCGGCCCGGTGCAGCCCGGCCTCTCCGCGCAGCCCGGCCCGGTGCAGCCCGGCCTCTCCGCGCAGCCCGGCCCGGTGCAGCCCGGCCTCTCCGCGCCCGCGTCTCCCCGAGCCCGAGGGCGCGCGTCCCGCCGTCGTGGGCAGGCACACACACACACTCCCTCCAAGGCCCCAGCCCGGGCCCGCGGACTGTCCCACGTGCGCCACGGCGGCCTGTGCACCCAGCTCACCTCCCGGGCGCGGGGAGACGCCGCCTTGGCCTCCCCAGCACACACACACACACCCCAGAACCGACCAACCCCAGGTCTGGGAAGCCACGCCCTGCAGAGAAGGGAGCCGGTTAGGCAGCACCCCCAAAGCATAGGCACTTCCAGGGTGCACACGGGGCTAGGGGATGGCACCCACCCCTCTCCCAGGCGTGTGCAGCCCTGCACCCGAGCTGGAATCCGGGCGGGGCGAAGGGGCTTGTGAGAGAGGACCCCGCCCGGGTTGACCTGGCACAGCTGCAAGGGTCCCTGACAGAACCGGGCGTGCACGCAGCTGTCAGCCACATCGCTCAGACCTGCCAGCAGAGGAAGGAGGGAGCAACACCTGCCATAGCTTAAATTCCCTCCTAGGACCTCAAATCTACGGACTGGGGGCAGAGGAGACCGCCAGGGTGGGCCGAGAACTTACAGCAGCAAGCAGGGAGACCAGAGGGGAGGAAGGACAGCCAAAGGCTGGCTGGGCCAGGGAAAGCCGCAGAAAACACTTGCTACTGCAGCATCTTCGGTTATGGTGTTTTCCCATAGTCCAACAGGTTTTCTCATTCCAGTAATCTGCATTTCTGGGCGGAGCTTAGAGACGCCCTGGGAAGCCTGCACCTTGACTGTTTCCTTCACACCAGGAGAAAATCAGAGGTTCTCAACAGAACCTGCCCGGAATCCCACAGCCAGCGGACTAAGCACCAGGCCAGCATGTACCGGCTGCAGCACACACTTGGTGGTGTGCATGGCTGCGTGGATGAGCAGGGAATGGAAGGAGAGGGGGGTGGACGGCTGGCTGGGTGCATGGCTGGGTGGGGCTGTCGGACGGGTGGGTAGGTGGTCTGTTGGGTGAGTGAATGAGTGGAAGGGAAGTCCTGATATTGCATCGATGCAAGCCTCTCCCCTAGAGGCGCAGCCCAGGCTTTTCTTTTTTTTTTTTTAAGATTTATTTATTTATTTATTGGAAAGTCAGATATATAGAGAGGAGGAGAGACAGAGAGGAAGATCTTCCATCCGATGATTCACTCCCCAAGTGAGTGCAATGGTCGATGCTATGCCGATCCAAAGCCAGGATCCAGGAACTTCTTCTGGATCTCCCACGCGGGTGCAGGGTCCCAAGGCTTTGGGTCGTCCTCGACTGCTTTCCCAGCCACAGGCAGGGAGCTGGATGGGAAGTGGGGCTGCTGGGATTAGAACCGGCGCCCAAATGCGATCCCGGTGCGTTCAAGGCGAGGACTTTAGCTGCTAGGCCACGCCCGCCGCCGCCGGGCCCAGATTACATGGCTTTTTTTCGAGTGAATTACACAGCTATGGGAAGCAGGTGAGTTGGGCAGCCGCAGGACACAGGTATAGGAACAAGGAGTAAATAAATTATACAATATTGATTCGTGAAACCAGAGGTCACTGGCCCAAAAGGCAGGAAACGGGCATAGCATCTTGCACAGAAACACAAAGGACAGCTCAGCAAAGTCACGCAGGCCTGAACCAAAGTGAAGCCATTTTGTGAACAGATTTCATATTAAGAAGCAAGTCGCTTCCTGGCTCCTGGCTTCAGATCAGCTCAGCTCTGGCCGTCGTGGTCACTTGGGGAGTGAATCAGTGGACAGAAGCTCTTTCTGTCTCTCCTTCTCTCTGTATATATGACTTTCCAATAAAAATAAATAAATCTAAACAAATAAATCTTTAAAAAAAGAAGAAGGCAGCAGGCTGAGTAGCAGCAGAAGGAAGTCGTTGGGAACCACAGAACTAAAGTTAGGAATTTAATTAATTAATTTTCTCATAGGACGTAAACTTCTGGACACCTGAGTGTTGTCACCCTGTGGTGAGCGTTTGCTCGGGGGTGTTGGCCCTGGCAGCTGAGGATGAGAGCATGGGCGAGGCTGGTAGCTGAACACTGCTGTCCTGCGCCAAGAGTGGACGCTGGACGGCGGGCACAGCGTTTCCAATGGCAGTTGATGACGCTGGGCAGCGGCGGTGTCCATGCCACGAAGCCCCGTGGGAGGCCGCCTCGGCGGGCCACGGCCTGAGCTGCCTGCCAGAGCTCAGTGGGTTTTTCCACTCAGCTCTTTTTCTAGTTACTGCCAGGGCCACCAGCTCAGGATCCGTGTCGCTTCCTGGACACCTTCCAGTGACGCATGAGCCGCCCACTGGGTCGCCGTGAGCCTCCCACTGACAGCTGAAGCCTGCTGGCTACAGCCCTGGCTGCTTCCCAGCCCTGAGCGGTCGCCCACCCGCACAGCCTGCTCCACAGCTCAGGTGCAGCAGGAGCAGGGTGCCACGCAAGCCACGCCCTGGGGGGCTCCCTCCTGCACACCTTCACCGTGCTTCACCCCGGCATCCTTGCCACATGCATTCTTTTTTTTTTTTTTTAAAGATTTATTTTTATTATGTTTTTATTCACCCCGGCATCCTTGCCACATGCATTCTTTTTTTTTTTTTTTAAAGATTTATTTTTATTATTTTTTTATTCACCCCGGCATCCTTGCCACATGCATTCTTTTTTTTTTTAAAGATTTATTTTTATTATTTTTTTATTGGAAAGGCAGATATACAGAGAGGAGAGACAGAGAGGAAGATCTTCCGTCCGATGATTCACTCCCCAAGTGAGTGCAACAGGCCGATACTATGCCGATCCGAAGCAGGTCTCCTACGCGGGTGCAGGGTCCCAAAGCTTTGGGCCGTCCTCGACTGCTTTCCCGGGCCACAGGCAGGGAGCTGGATGGGAAGTGAGGCTGCCGGGATTAGAACCGGCACCCATATGGGATCCCGGGCGTGCAAGGCGAGGACCTTTAACCACTTGCGCCACCGCGCCGGGCCTGCCACATGCATTCTTGCTCCTTGCTCGCCTTGCCGGGCCCTGGCTGAGGCTGGGAAGGGACTAGCAATCCAGGTATCCCGGCACTGCCGGTGTCTCCAGCAACACCCCGTCCTGGGTGGGCCTGTGGGGTGGATCGGTCACCTGGGAAGCCCCTTCCTCAAGGCCGCTCCATCCTTGGTCCCTGCTGGCACCCTGGCCCTCACTGCTCATGCGGTGGTCTGCCTCCCTCACTCGAGGGTGCCCCCCTCCCCTGGGCAGGAACGTTGGGCCTGGTACCCCTCCCCCACCAAGATCAGGGAGGTTGGGCCTGGTCCCGTCACCCCCCCCACTGGAGCAGGGACACTAGCCTTGTCCCCTCCCCTTCAGGTCAGGGATGCTGGGCCTGGTGCCCTCCCCCGCCAAGGTCAGCAAGGTCAGGGACACTGGACCTGCTGCCCCTCCCCCCTCAGGGCAGGGACATGGGGTGGTCCCCTCCCCCCAAGGCAGGGGCGCTGGGCCTGGCTCCTCCCCCGGGAAACAGCACAGGGAAGATCTCACACTTTGGCCTCCAAGCCCGTGTCTCCTGGGACGGGGGTGGGCCGAGGGGTCAGCTCTGCTCCCAGGTGGTGCTGGGAGCTCAGCAGCCAGGGAGAGCCAGGGAGAGCCAGGGAGAGCCAGGGAGAGCCAGGGAGAGCCAGGGAGAGCCAGGGAGAGCCAGGGAGAGCCAGGGAGAGCCAGGGAGAGCCAGGGAGGCCGGCAGCTGCAGTCCGACTCCAGCCACGCTGGGCGGGGTCTCCCGGCAGAAATCCCAGGAATGTGAGCCCCAGCTAGGCTGACCCCGTGCGGTTGGCAAATCCTCTCCCGGCGTCCTCAGTGAGGACCCCGAGCAGGACCAGAGAGAGAGAGAGAGGCAGCTCCGGGGAGAGCCCGTGCGGAAGGCGGAGCGGCTCTGCACAGGCTGCGGGGAGGCCCAGGGGCTCTGCACAGGCTGCGGGGAGGCCCAGGGGCTCTGCACAGGCTGCGGAGCTGCTTGGGAGCCATTTTCAAGATCAGCCCGCTGCTGGCTCTGCATCTGTGCACCTCGCCCCATCTGTCCCTGTTACCCCAGGCGCCGGGCCAGGCCCGCTTCCACAGGTGCGGATAGGGGAGCCTCAGCGGGCCCTGCAGCCTCGGCCAGCATCTGTGGGCTGCCCCACAGTGCATCGTGGGATCACATGGGGACGGCAGTCCACGGCCAGCGTCCACGGCCCTTTGTCTCCCGTGGGCACCTCCGCGGTTCAGGCCGCTCCAGGAAGGAGGGGTGTTCATCAGGGACGTGCTCCAGGACCCGGAAGTTTCCGTAGGAGGGAGCAGGGTTCTTCAGGCATGCTGACAGCCCGTGCGGGCCACTGTGGCCTGCATGCTGGCACAGAGCGTGCCCGCCCCCAGGCACGGGTGGGGGACTGGGGCAGGTCTCGCCTCAGTGGGTTCCCACAGGCTCAAGGAGAATCCCCCAAGGGAGGAGCGGCCAGCCCAAAATAGAAAAGTTGACGGAGTTAGGCCCGGGGCCGGCCAGCCCTCTGGCGGCCAGCTGCAGCCTGTCCCTGCCTCCTTGCCAGCCCCTTTGTCTCCCCACCCCCTCCAGCCTCCGGGGTCTTGAAAGCCCCCCTTTTGCCCCCAAAACAGCATGTCCTGTCTTTGCCAGCACACAGGGTGAGGCTTCCATGCAGCTGTCCCCACCCGCCCCCTGCGGGGGCCCAGGACGGCTGGGCAGCCACCTGCCATGTCCAGCCTGGTGGCCAAGACCCAGGGCTGCTCCTCCCCGGCCTGCGGTGGTCACTCTCTGTAAGACCACCCACTGCAGGCCTAGGGTACAGGGCCAGCCCACTGCGGCCTGCTCTGGCTGGACATCGCCGTGGACAAGGGAGGGCCGTGGGGTTCTGCGTGCCTGTGAACCCTGGGGGTGGCTGCCTTGTGGGATCAGGGGACTGGGCCTAAGGGGGTGGGAGACACCATGGACCCCAAACCCCCGGGGTGCCCCCCAGGGTGGATGGCATCACGGGGAGGCAGAGAGGAGAGCAGGAGCATGGCCACAGCCAGCAGTGGGATTGAGGGGGCGGGAGACCAGCGAAGGATGCCCTGGAAGGGCCCCGTGCTGGCTGAATACCGCTCTAGGACAGGGGACCGGGGGCTCACCAAGCAAAGGAGGAGGAGTGGCAGGGTCCCCGGCCGCTGCCTCGTCCCAGCACGCACTTCTGCTCTGGGAAGGAGGCTGAGGGCAGGAGGTACGCATGGCGGCAAGGTCGCCACAAGGGTGGCTTTTAAAATAAATGTATTCATTTCGTTGGAAAGGCAGGCAGGTTTAAAGAGAAGGAGAGACAAAGATCTTCTGTCCGCTGGTTCGTTCCCCAAATGACCACAACAGAGTCAAGAGCTTCTTCCGGGTCTCTCATGTGGGTCTCACGGCTTTGGGCAGCCCTCCTCTGCTTTCCCAGGCCACAAGCAGGGAGCTGGACGGGAAGTGGAGAAGTCGGGACTTGAACCAGCACTCATGTGGGATCCCAGTACTTGAGGTGGAAGACTGGCCAAATGAGCCTCTGTGCTGCTCCTGTAACATAGGTTTCCTTTGATTTATTTATTCTGGGGCCCAGCACAATAGCCTAGTGGCTAAACTCCTCGCCTTGCATGCACCCATGGACCCGTATGGGCGTCCATGCTAAGC